TGCATATATGTAAATTGCAAAAACGCATATTGGGAAGAGGCTGTGTGTGTGTGTGTGTGTGTGTATCTATGTGTCTGTGTATTCGCACTTTTTGTTACTCACTTTCAACTTGAGAACTAGAAAAGTTAGAAGGCTGAAACTTTGGAGGTATGTGTCTATACCATGCGCGACCCTTCCGTGGACGCCTGGATGCCGCGTACGGACGCTTCAAAAAAATATGCAAATTTTTTGGCGGGAAAGCAATCTCGGGAACCACATGAGCTAAGGGGCTGAAACTTTGTAGGGGTATTCCTTGTGCACGTGTTAGCTAATGGTTTCAAATTCAGTCCCCAGGTATGCGGGACACTCACGCAAGAGCCTATGGAAGTTTCTGCGGGAAAATTACTAACTCGAGGATCAGAAAAGCTAGAAAGCTGAAATTTTAGGAGAATGCTCACTGCCCACGTACAAATTAAGTATTTCAAATTCAACCTTGAGGTTTGCGTGGTTCTTACGTGCGGGCACTTAAATTTTTGGCGGAAAAACTTCTCACTGAAATGCTAGGTTACTTTTAAAAAACGATCGTTAAATGGAAATTGGACATTTATTTTATGCAAAATTTATGGTAATTTATGCTAGTGACCGCAAAAGATAGGTGTAAAGCAACAACCATTCATGCAGTTAATGATCTGAGTACTTCAAGTCTGGTGCAAAAACGCATGATCGCACGAGCCCGTCCGGTGCGTCCCAGTCTGGGTTGTCACCCACTTTCAACTCGAGAACCAAAAATGCTAGAAGGCTGAAACTTCGAAAGCATGTACTTACCACCTGTGTCACCCTCCCGTTTAATATCATCACACACGTACGCCTGGGTGCTGCGTACGGATGCCTTAAAAAATATGCACATTTTTTGGCAAAAAAGCGGTCTCGGCAACTAGAAAGGATAGACAGTAAGAACTTTGCAAGGATATTCTCTTTGCACTTGTGAGCTAAAGTTTTCAATTTCAGCTCCTAGATGTGCATGGCTTTCATGTATGGGCAGGTGAAAGTTTTGTCGGGAAAACTGCTAACTCGGCAACCAGAAGTGCTGGAAGGCTGAAATTTTAAAAGAACATTTCCTGTTCAAGTACAGCATAAATATTTCAAACCCAACCTCCAGGTATGAATAGTCCTTAAGTGCCGGCATTTAAAATTTTGGCGGGAAAATTGCTCACTGAACACCTAAGTCGTTTTTAATGAAAGACTGTTAAACGAAAACTGTTCATTTTCTTTACGCACAATTCACGATGATTCACGCTAAGGTAGTTGAGCGCAAAAGGTAGTTGTGAAGCAATTACCATCCTCGCAGTTAACCACCTGAGTAGTTGAAGTCTGATGCAAAACGTACAGCCGCACCGGCAAGCTTGGTGCGTTCCAGCTTGGGCTGCATATTTGTGTAAAAGCAAAAACGCATATTGTGATACCACATGTGTATGTGTCTTTGCGTCTGTCCGGGTATTCCGGCAACAAGGTAAGCTTTGGTAGACTTCAA